AGAGCGTGATGGTGGGGGCCCGGGGGGGGTCTGTGAGGAGGAAGAGGATGCTGCAGCTCAGGAGGTCCCCGCAGCGCGGCCGCTACCTGCACGTGGGGCACATCCAGCCCCAGCCCTCACGGCTGCTGCCCCGAGCTGCTTTTCCCCTTACGTAAACGGGTGATATTTACTCACAGAAATGTCAAAGCCAAACCCAGGGCTATTTTATTTTTCCCCTGACTTGCAAAAGCTCCTGAGCTGTTATTATCATAGCTGGCTCCTCGGTCAGTAACCTCCCAGCAGTTTATGGTGTGTAACAGATTAGTGGAGGCGTGGGAGATGCTGCAATGAAGGGACGGGTCCCTGCCGCAGCAAATACCACGTAACGGTACCTTCAGCTGCGGCTCACGGCCAGAAATTGTTGCATTTATCGCAACTTTTACCCAGGGGGGCTGAAACCCCCCTTTCAACTGGACTCAAGACGTTTGGGCCAGAGACTTCGTTTTGACTCGAGGGGTTTGCGCAGCCCCTGGCACAAAGGGAGCCTCGTCTGGCGGGGACCCCCCCTGTCCCCTGGCAGGAGCGGTGGGCACTCACATGTCACACTCAGGCTGATGGCCTGGGACGTGTCACTGCCGCGGTCATTTGTCACCTTGCAGGAGTAATAGCCGGCATCGCTGGCGGCTACGTGGTGGAAGAGCAGGGTGTGCGCCGTGCCTTCCTTGAGCCAGGCGCTGTTCTTGTACCAGGTGTAGTTGAGGTCCTGGCCCTCCCTGCCAGGGACGTCGCAGGACAAGGTGGTGGCCGTCCCCTCCCGCACCTCGGCCGCGGGGCTCACTGAGATCTCTGCAGCTGTCGGAGATGGGAGCGGGTTCAGGATGGCCTCGGAGGCAGGAGAGGGCCCCCCGCCCCTGCGGCGTGGGACAGAGCCTGGGGACAGGCGGGAGCCCCTCAGCCCCCCCCGGATGACGATGGCGGTGGGAGGCATTTGGGTTCGGTCCCTGCCGCCAGCACCTTGCCCGCTGGGGTTCAAGTTTTGGCTTTAATGCAAAGCCCCAGGGGCAAAACTCATGGTGGGTGCCACAGTGTCCTTCGCCCCTCACGGTCTGCACGGGGGGCTCTGGGGGGAGCAGACCAGCCCCATCTGCTCCGGGCCGGGGGGAGATGCTCCCCGTGGGGCTCCAACACAGGCAGGCTCCTGGGCAATGTGGCCATCTGGGGCTTCTCTCTACCGCAGAATCTGATGGAGGGTCCCGGCTCCCCACAGACCACCCTGGCTCCGAATCCCCATGAGCTCTGACAATCTCCTTCCCAGCGGCGGCAGCGAAGCCTCGCAGCTGGCTTCGCTCCCTGGGCTTGGCTGCAAATCCCTCCCTGCCCCGTCTTCGGGGCTCGCCACAGCCCTGCGCCGTGAGGGACGAAGGATGCAGGCATGGCACGATGGAGGCATCCCAGTCCTCCACCACAGAATCCCCAGCTCCTGGACCTCCAGCTGGTACCAGCCACCTCAGTGCCAGCCCCAGTCCGGACTCACTGGGCAAACTCCCTCCCGCTCCTGCGGCCCCGCTCCTCCTCCAGCAATGCCCCGGCCGCCGGTGAGCTCCCCTGGCACTTACAGAAGATGTAGAGCGTCAAGGCAGGTGCCACACCAGCCCCGACAGCGTTCTCGGCTTCGCAGTGGTACTGCCCGTAGTCCTCGCGGCGAACGTCCCGGAGGGTCAGCATCTGGTCACTGGCCACGGCCACCCCATCCTTGTACCAGTGGTATGCTGAGACGGGGGGGTAGCTGCTGCTCACCTCGCAGGCGAGGGAGACCGTGTCGCCCACGCGGATGTTCTGCGTGGAGGGGTTGACCGACACGTGGGTGTCCTTCGGGGCATCTGCGGGGAGGACAGAGACATGGCGGGCAGCGGTGAGGCCGGGCAGGACTCTGCCAGAGCCCGTCCTGCTGTTCAGATGTGAGGGTCTGTTGCAGGAAAAGGAGCACAGGTCTCCCCCGAGCACGGGAGCCGGCCCTGGCGCGGGGAGGGCGTCTCTGCTCAGAGGAGAGCTGGGAAAGGGGGCAAAGCTCCCCACCGGCAGCAGAGAGGGCTGGGCACAGCGGTGGGCGCCGGGACGTGCCACGGAGCTGGAACGCGGCACTTCAGCAGTGTTTATGGGACAGACACCAGCCCTGGCCATGGAGAGCGGTGGGGGAACAGGAGAGGGAGGGAGAAGCAGGAGGGGAGTCTGCTCTGGCTTTTTCCAAGGGGCCCAGGGAAGGAGGCAGAGGGGGAGGCACGGTGGGTGGCAGGAGGGGGGCCTGGTTGGTGTGGCCATGGCAGAGGTGCCCCCGCCCCCCCGCCGCGCTCAGCCAGCCCCGTGCAGAGCCTCCCCACGTACGTCTCACCCGCAGGGTGACCTCCCCGATCGCCTGCACGGAGCCGTAAGAAACTTTGCAGAGCAGCTTTTTGGAGTGGTCCTTCCAGGAGAAGGAGGTGGTGAGGGTCAGGTAGTGGCCGACCCCACTCGTGTCCAGCTGGACTCGGCTGGACACCGTCGAGACCTGGGGGTCGTAGCCCTCCCAGTGCAGGGTGACATCGGCCAGCGGGCAGACGTAGGGTGTGGAGCACTCCAAGGCGGACGTTTGCCCCTCGGTTTGCTCCTCACTGGCGGCAGCGCTCGGGCGCTCGAGGTTGTCTGGGGATGGAGAGCAGAGGGTGGGATGTCCGCGTAGGGCAGTCAGGGAGCTGGGGGAGGGGGGTCTCACCGCTGTACCTACCCGAAACGCTCAGCATCACATCCTGCGCTGCCAACCACCGGTCACCATTGATGATCTCAAAGCGGAACCTGTAGGGCCCGCTGTCCTCGGGCGTCACCCCCTGCAGCAGCAGGGTGCAGTTGCGAGCAGCGGGGTCCCCCAGGAGCTGAGCACGGCCCCTGAACTGATCATCCACCCCCTGGTCCACCGAGTGGTACACCAGCGTCTTCTGGTTTTCGTAATCCTTGTACCAGATGGCCACGATGCCGTCGGAGGCTGACATGTCGTCGGGGTAGCTCAGGGTGCAGGGAATCACCACGCAGGAGTCCTTGACGCCACGCAGGACCTTGGGGTAGGTGACCCCCCACGAGCTGAGGACTGTGTCGGAGGGGAGGCAGCGGGAAGGGGGGGGTCAGGCTGCAGCCCCCTGCTCCCCTCCTGGGCCACATCACCTCTCCCGAGGTGCCCGAGCAGGCAGCGGGTCGTGGCAGGCAGGGAGGGACTCAGAGAGGAGAACGGAGGGGTGAGACAGAACAGCCCAGGGGAAAATCTTGGGGTAGAGAAGGGGGAGATGATAGAATCACAGAATGCTTTGGGATGGAAGGGGCTTTTAAAGGTCATCTAGTCCATCCCCCCTGCAATTGGCAGGGACATCTCCAACCGGATCAGGAACGAGATGATGGGGAAAAGCTGGGTCTGTGGGTGGTGCTTTCAGAGAGCACAAGGCACCAGCTGGATTTGAAAGGCAAAGGTCTAAAAAACTAGTAAAAAAGGAAAAGTTGCTCTCCTGGCCCTCCAAAAGCCTGTTTCCTCACCCCCCTCCGTCTCCTTGTCCTTTCTCTCATGCCCCGGCTGTCCCCCTGCGTCCCCATGCTCACCCCATCCCAGAGCCTGTCCTGTGTCCCTCGGGCATCATGCACGGCTCCTTGGCAGGGTCAGGGCATCAGCGCTTCCACTCCCACCCCTCCCGGTGTAAATCTGAGCAACCAGCCCCTGCAGGGGGCCAGACCGTGCCAGCAGGGCCGCGGCGGGGCAGGAGGCAGCGGGTCTCTTGGTGGCACCGTACCTGGCGGGACGAGGCTGGCCAGGAGGATGAGCCAGCAGGGCAGGCGCATGGCAGCACCCCGGGCACTGTTGGGGGTCCCTGGGGGCAGAGGCAGGGAAGGCTCAGGCCACGAGGGTGGGAGGTGGCCGGTCTTCAAGGTTGGCGTTTGCCAGAGGAGACCCTGACAAGAAGAAGAGGTGGCCAAAAGCCTTGAAACGCATTGTACATGAGCGCAGTCCAGCTTTTCCCACCATATGCCCCTGTGCTGGGCTGCCGGAGCCCGCCCCGCTGCCGGCCAAAGGCAATTCCTTCTGCACCAAATGGGAAAACCTCGATCCCAGCTCATTTGCATCAGTTACCCACCAGCAAAGCACGTCACTGAGCCATGCAGGATGAATCCTGCTTGCAGCAACACCGGCATCGCTCTGGATGCACCGTCTCCAACGGGCCGGGCTGGGAGGGGATGGTGCGGGGTGAGGGGCAGCCCTGGCCCCACTGAACTCTCGTCGGAGTTTAAGGAGCGAGTCCGGGTTTTGCAGCGAGGTTTAAGGAGCTTATTCATGTGCTCACTGCATCCGTGCAGCACGGGGAGCAAATGAAGAATGATATAATACCGACACGGAGAACGTGTGTACGGCATGGGATGGGCTCGTGCAAATGCTGGTTATGGGAGTCTGGGTTGAAAATAAAAATGAGGGCAAAAAGAAAATACCTGAAATGAGGAGAAGAGAGACTTCTAAAGAAGCACTCTTGGGGAAATCCTCATTAAGCCAGAAATCCCAGCGACCTGCTCACGGCCACCAGCTGAGCTCCGGAGGGTCTGAGCATCTGTCGGAGGGGCACAGACGTGGGGACGGAGGACAGAGGGACGCGGTCAGGCTCATGTAAAGCTGTCCCGATACCGCAGCTCCGCGGGGCACACGGCATCCCGGCTGCCGAAAAGCCGGAGACAGAAATGTGCCGGTGCCCCGTGGGAGCAACCGCACGGCGGGTTGCAGCGGGCTGAGGACCAGGTCCCGGCGGTGGGACCGCAGGGCACGGATGTTCGGACTCCAGGGTTTTGATTTCTGTAAGCCCAGCTGTGGTGAGGAGGAGCCTGGCCACAGCCCCGAAAATCTGCCTCTGATGTTTGGTGTTGTACGCTCAGGTGGGATGGTTTTAACTAGGGATTTATCAAGTTTTAGTAGGTTTAATGGCTTTTTGCAGCTCCAGACCTAAGCATACTGATGGAATTATTTTTAAATTTAAAAAAATTATTCTGCAATAAAACAGATTTTTTTCCTGAAATTTTTTTCATTACCATGGAAATCAATTAACCGATTGATTGCAATTTAGGTCTTTATCAAACACCTTAGCAATCTTTCCATATTGAACAAGGCAGCTCTTTACTCCTTGAGCCAACCTTCTCCTCCTTCGATGATTTGCTACTTTGCCAACACCTTTTTTTCCCAACATATGCTTTGAATTTCCTCGCTGCTAATTCGGTTTAGGGAGGTATTTTAGACTCCAAAGCACTCGTGAGAGCTTTGGTTTTGCGTGAATTTTTTCCCGGCCAACCCGAAGCACCAAGAGCAAACGAAATGGCCCCGCCACTGCCCTGGAGGGGTGCCCCGGCCCCCCAGCGCTGCGGGGCTGCCCCAGGGCTGAGGGCAGCCGGGGATGCGCGGGGACCAGAAATAGCTGTGGGATCGGAGGAGGAAGGAAGCAGCGGCTCAGCGCCGGGGTCCGCTCCCCAGCCCCCTGCTCACGCCGACGCCGAGTTTCGTTTCTTCTGCCGCGCTTCTCCCGGTTTCGGTTTCTGGGCGGCGTGGCCCCAAGGGGACCCTCGAGGCTGGGGAGCGCAGCAGCCTGTGGTGGGGCCCTGGTGCTCATCAGCTCAAGGAAATTAAAACATGTGCAAAGATTTCTCGAGAAAAAACACTTGTAAGGGGCTCTATGTGTGCGTGCACATGCACAGCACAGCGGCGGTCTGGGCCAGCCGCATTGCACAGGCCAGAGGAGAACATGTTAAGCGTTATCACCTAATACCAACTAGGCAAGAATATTTAGATGTCATGCACTGGAAAACAGGGGGAAAGAGGCGACTGCCCAGTGAAGAACCCTGTAACGGCCTCCTCTGCACCCACGGGCACGCTCAGCCTGAGCTGCCACCGGGACAGCCAGCAAAATCCCCGCAAGGGCTCCTGTGCGTGCCAGCAAGTGCAAGCGAGATCTCGAACTTCTTCAAGCTTTAGCAAAAAATCACCTATTGGCATAGAAATGCAGCATCTGGGGCTGAGCACAAAGAGGGGAAACTTTTGGTGTTGGTGCCGTCAGCCTCCGCGATGTCCCCATGCAGAGAGAGCAACGGAGATGGGGACCACGGGGCAGTCGGGCAGCGTTCCCCCAGGACGAAGAGTGGCAGGGAGCTCCCTGCGCTTGTCCCCCAGTGCTCCCACCCACCACACGGCTCCCTGGGGCCAGGCAGCCCACCTCCCCGCTGCCTGTCCCGTCCCTCTGCCTGCGAGACCCAGCCAGGGCAGCGCTGGCAGCAGGGAGGGAAGGGGACAGCCCCGGACCCCAGCCCTGCTCCGCCGCTGCCTGCTCTGCACCCAGCCTGGCACTGATCCTGCCCGGTCCCAGAGGCCAGGACGGCACCCTCCACACGGGCCGGGAGGCTGCACAGTCCCTCACCACCCTCTCGCTGCCGCCGTCGTGGCTTTGCCAGTCTCTGCCACCCAGGGACTGGCACCGAACCCTTGCTGAGGGCTGCAGGTTGGGTGCATCCTGGGCTCCAAACCCAGCCCTGAGCCTGGACCCACTTCCCTGTCCCCAGCAGAAGACGGACAAGACTCAACCCCACGGAGATGCTCTCGCCGCCGCAGCCACCCACCCGCGGCGAGGTGCCCGTCAGCACCCCGTGCCACCCTGCCAGCCCCGCAGAGCATCATGCCAGTCTCTGCCCCGGGTGTCTGCATCCCAGCACCTCCACCAGCGCTCCCCCGGGAGCAGCGGCATTACCTGGGAGTGCCCGTGCCCGCCTGGGGTCCCGAGCCGCACTGTCCGTGGACGGCGCCTGCCGCTCGCCGCCTGGGGAGAGCTATTTATCTGGTGCGGGGGGCAAGGAGCCCAAAACTGCATCACTTCCCTCTTCAGGGGTTTGTCCCTGCCCCTGCTTTTGAGAAGTGGCTGTCAGCAGCAGCTATTTCTTGCCTTTTACTAATTTGGGGCTGTTTTGGGGCAGGGGCTGGGTTTTTGCAGCATCCCAGCGCCTCGGGTACAAGGGTCATCCTGAGGCTACATTTTCTTTGCACCGCTGCAGCCCAAGCATCGTCACTCTCCTGGCACCCCCAGAGCCCCTCGGGGCACCCCCAGCCCCGCTGTGCTGTACCAGAGCCAGAGCAGGGCGATACCCCAGCCGTGGGGGCACCCACCCACCCACCCAGGGGGTCTCTGGGTTTCGTGGGGAAAGCCTACACTGCGGTGAAGGTGCCTGCAGGGACAGCAATGCCCCATGGGGATGCTTCCACAGCCGG